CATTACTTCCTCGTCGGCAGAGACATAGTTGTCTTTGCCAGATTGAGGAAGAATGTCTTTGCCAGATTGAGGAAGAATGGATCTAAGTCGTCCCGTCTTTTTAACAGTCTCCAATGCTATGGCCACTGCAGAAGACCCTGTGTCGATTAAGGCATTAAACGGTTTAGCCCAAACTTCACAGTCACATTCCGCGCTTTTCCATTGCACCGGTCGAGCTCATACGAAGTGATGCTTTTCTGCTAAAGAGATCGCTGCTATACGTGCGGCTTCGGGTTTAGGTTTTTTTGTCTCTGGCTCGAGGGGTGCCACCTCCTCGCCTTCTTCCTTCTTCTTCAGCATCCGTTGTACGCGCTGATAGGTGAAGCGCTTTTGATTTTTCTGACAATGTTGTAACAGTTTATCGTTCGCTGTTTCAGATATGGTGAGCAGATGTCCCACTAGGATGGGCACGCGAATGTCTAGTTGCTTGAGCGTTTTCAGTACATCAATATCCCCTGTCTGAAACTGTGGTCCAGGATTGGACTCGCGATCGACCCATTCGATATCATCTTGGGCCGATCGGATTGCTCCGATCATTCCGGCAAGATAGAGATACTCGAGGGGATCGACCACGTCAGCAGCGTCAGAGGAAGAGGCTCCTGATGTCGACGCCATGATCGTTGTACGGGAAGGCTGTTCTGGAGCGTATGCTACGGCCTCTCCTCCCTGGTTCATGTCCATCAGAGCGGCCACTCGTCCTTGATTAAGGGCGACTGGGGCCGTAGCAGGGAGAGGCTGATTACGTTTTGGCTGCAGACAGTCTCGGGCGAAATGCCCGGGCTGTTTGCGGTTGAAACACTCGATCTTTCCTGCCGGATTGGCTAGAAGGGGAAACTGAGGGGCGAATCCTGGAGCAGGTGGAGCAGGTAAGAGCGGAAACGAAGCAGGGGTAGGTCGGGCCGGGGCCGGGTTAGGCTTAATGAGCCGGCTCATTATCTGCTTCATCCGTTCCATGTGAGCCGCATGTATTTGGATCAGGTTACTCATCCATTCGGACTGCTTAGTAGTGGTCGTATGGATCATATGGGCAAGATGCAAATTGGTTATGGTTGGCGAGGGGGGTTCGGATGGGGTTCCGCTTCTAACGGCTGCGATTGGTTGATTCACCTGGGGAGAGGGAGAAGAAGCAGCCGGGATATCAGAGACGATTCCGCTGGGAAGGTCATGATCGGGGCGGGGATAAAACCATTCGACCGCCTGTAGCCAAGATCGCCTCTTGGCCGTTACATCCCGTATGGTATCYGTAATATCCTCGTCTCCCTGGCTGATATATTTTTTTGTATCCGCCAAGTCTAGCTCCAACGCTTTAGTGATGATAGCCGACAACTGGGTTGTTTTTGGTGGAATTTTTTTCTGCAATTTCCCTTTCAAGGTTGGACTTCGAAGGTGATCAATAAACAAGTCTTGAGCGGAATTCTCGTCTCGCCCGGATTTATCCAATGTGGTTTGAAATCGATCGACGAAATCGGGTAATAGTTTCCCTGGTCCTTGGGGTCGATTTTTGAGCACGTACCAGGCGGCATCTTCACTAACCGTATCGAATCGAGCCAAGAATGCACGCTTAAAAGTCGCCCAATCTACCCATGTATGCTTTCTGAACCAGTCGTGCGAGGTATTGCGGAGTAACAATGTCAAAACACGGGGAAAATCGGCTGCGTTGTAGTTTTGAGCTTCGACACCTTCCAGCCAAGCCTCGGGATGGGTATGGTTGGGAAAGAAGTGGAAGGGGGCAGGGATGCTAACGATCACCCTAGTATCGTCCACCATTGGTATTGCTGGCACAGCCGCACTAGACTGAGACCTGGTTACGGGGCGATCTCGACGAGCTAGTTGAGGGTCTCTCCTACCTCTCGCCAGTTCGACTTGCTATCATCAGAACCGATACGTGTCCGCTCCGATACCAACCTCACGCCCTGTGCTGTCTTCCGTTCGGAGTGTTAGTCATGCGGAAAGAGGCCCAGAAAAACAACAAGATGGGGTGTGCTAAGGATTTTTGGAAATTCAGTGTGGGGACACAAATGGAACTGAAATCCCTCGTGTTGGTCCGATGAAGCAAGTTGGTTAGTTTCGCGCGTCGCGAAATGTGCGCGCGGTCGTGGCGCGAAAACAGAAAGACCCAAATTCAGTCCAAAAACTAATGTCAGGTTTCCCATCGCGCTACCGCCCGTCGTTTGGAGCAAAAAGGTTTTGGCACGCTTCGCATGTCTCGTTTCCGTATCAAATCTCGTCGTCGTTCGGTGGTTAGTTCCGAGTCCGACGTGGATGGTTTCAGCCGTGTGGCTCTTTCTTTATGCTCGTCTTCACTCCACACACGGTAGTGGAAACCCCTGGATTCGTAGCGCTCAAAACGCTGACATTCGATGCACAGAGTGCGCGGCCGGTGGGGTTCTACTGCCGTCCACGGAATGACGATCAATTCATTAAATGGCAACAATACCGAGTAAGGTAGGAAATGGGTTTCAATAATAACAAAGCCCGCATCTACGAATCCAGAACAACGATTTTCGGGAGGGAAGTAATATTGTCCGTCGATTCGTGCAACGGCTTCTAGTACGTCCCATTCGCATACACGTGTCCTTTCCTCACTGTAAGGAAAAGGTCGCGTTGGGATGGGAGATACGGGAGGCTGGCGCCCAGTCGAAGGATGCTTGTCAGTCCACATTTCCATCAATCACAAATATCCCAAGACGTCATCAAAAACAGAAATCATTCGCTCAACCCTCAATCAATCCTTCTTGACATGAGAGAGAGAGAGAGAAGAGCAAACACAGATCAACTTGATCACGCATATAGCTACGGGTTCGATCAACCCAACGCAACGTTAGTCCCTGGGCGCCTTGTTTCTCAGGGCCGCCTCGTGCCTCGGCTGTTGATGTCGTGCATCATAAGGCAGATGGCATGCGCAGTGTAAACAGAGATACTGATCTAAACATTCTTGCATTTTCGAAGAAAATCCCGACGACAATCATCTAATCAACAAAAGAGTCGTTCGTTCCCTACATGCATTCACTGTGGAAGGTGCAAAAAATGAGACGTGCACAAGAAAAGATGGATCGGATCACTCAGTACACATGCATCCACCGTTCACAAGACAAGAAAACAAGGTCCTTGCGTAGGACGATTACCCAGGAAACTAATGGAAGAGTTTCGGAAGAAGTTCCTTCACACAGAATGCCGACTCATTTCCATTCAAGAGCGGGACAATCATTCAGACGCATCATCATTCAACAGGAGAGAGAGACAGAG